CAGGGCTGTGTCCGGCTGCTCCGAGACAGCAACAGGTCTGTGCAATGCCACCTAGGCTACCTGCGCGCAGGCTGAAAAGGGCTTTCAGCTGGTGGAAGAAGCAGAGAAATCAGGAATCCTCATCCCCAAATCCTGCCCTGCACCTTTTGCCCCAGAGACACATTGTCCCATCATCTGCTCGGTCCCTCCGGCAAAGGCAGGACGTTCTCCAGCATCAGCGGATTTTCTTCAGATAGAGGTGGATCCCGTTCTTGGAGCGCAGGATGATCTGAGGTATTTTGCAGGGAGGTCTGGCGGGATCTGGCGAGAGCTCGAAGCGGAGCAGGGTCAGGGCCAGCGCCACCTTCATCTCGTTCATGGCGAACTGCTGCCCGATGCAGTTCCTGGGGGAAACCAGAGCAGCTCAGCCACCCCATCCATCACGGTGCTGGGCACAGATAAACCCCCGCAGCCGGATCCCAGCCCTCACACCAGCACACAACCCTTCCCTGTGCGGCTCTAAGGCAGTGTTTTGGGTGGCAAAAGCAGGGGCACGGGCTGAGCAGGGGAAATGGGGGAGAACTGGGAGTTACTGGAAATGTGTTCACTGAGCACGGAGAGGGAGGGGAGACGGGGAAGCCATAGGAGAGGCCAGCCCTGAGCTGAGGTGGTGGATCTCCAAGCTGGAGGGTCTGCAATGTGTTTGCCTTGCTGGGGGGAGAGCAGGGCGAAGGGAAGGACTGGGAGCAGGGGAGAACAGGGAAGCAAAGGATGGGGGGGTGGGATGGGGTCTCTGCATCGAGGAGAGGAGGAGAGAAGGTGAGCCCAGGATGCTGCAGGCTCCTGTGTGGTGCCAACAGGACCCTAAGCAGCTTTGGGACCTGCTTCCCTGTCCCCAAGAGGGGCCCGAAAATATTTCCTTCCCGTTGTGGCTGCTGCTACCAGAGCCCCTCTGTGGCACAAAGGCTTCTTATGTGCTCATGGGCTATTTAACGCTGCAGGGCAAGGACTTTGGGTGGAGGTCTGTGAAAGCACTCCAAGTGCCTCCCTGACAGCAATTCTAACAGCAGTACATGCTTCTTGGCCTGAGCATTTTCCAGGGATGCACATTTTCTCTCCTCACTGGTCCTCCAGTGTTCAATACACTTTACCTCATTCCAGCAGAAAAAGGCAGAAAGGCGTGAGAGTGTCTGCCAGAGATGTTCTCCGGGGAAAACCGCAAAGGGTCGAACACCTGGAAATAAACGATACACAGCAAGAAAAAGTGATTACTTAAGGAGCAAAGGTACCAATCGGTATCTTCAGAAGTGTGATACCCCATAAATTCTGAACAATCCCGTTGGAGAGAGGATTCAATTTGAGATGAACTGAAACTCATACACCAGATTCCCTTGCTTTCCACTGAGCCTGGCAGTGGTGTCGCCAAGACAAACAAGACATAGACATGATGAAAACTGGGGAGCTGGGATTCACTTTTCCACCCGCAGGCTAAGCAAAATCACCTTTCTTTTTGGTTATACAAGCTCTTCAGAGCACCTTGTCTTACTGTTTGGGCAGCACCCAGCCCTAACACTACTGCCTGACCATCCTGTGCCACAGCTGGCCGAGATTAATGCGAGGCGGTCACATCTCAGCGTGATTCCCATGGCCAAAGATGCCCAGCAGCAAGGGGGCTCTGCTCTCCTGCTAACAGGTGAAGAGGGCATTCAAAGAGGCACAGCATCAAGGGGAAAAAATCATTAGAAGGGCAAAAGAAAACTTACCGACGGGTCTTTCCATAACATGGAGTTTCTGTGAATGGCATAAATGCTTATCGCAGCGATGCTGCCTGTAAAGCAATCAAGGAGGAGAAAAGGGCTCAGTGACAAAGAAACTAAAGGAGAAGTTGCAGCCTGCTCACGTGAAGGTCTGTCTAAATCATCATGGTCTTCTCTGTCAACTGGAAACCAATGAGGGTTTTGTCACTAGCTTCAGAGGAAACTAAGCGTTTTCCAGTTGTTTAGTTGTAAGAAGGCAAACAGTGGAAATGAGGAAGGCACCAGCACCACAGGCACATCATCTCCCACTGACACCGCCTGCTGTGTGCCGAGTCAGAGAAGGAAAGTGGCAGCACATGGCAATTCCCAGGCTGCAAGTCAGGGTGGGACCAGTCCCTGTCCCCCTGCACCTGCAGTTTGCCACAATAGGCGAACCGTGGGCTCGTGCTTGGCCAGAAGGAGAAGGGGCTTTCGGCACAGGCACGGCTGCCCTGTAGCAACAGTGGCAGGAAGGACGTCAGGGGGATGCTGCTGTACAGCCCAGACCTCAGTCTGTCGATGGGATGCCAATATCTGCACAGTCCTGTCTGAATGCTTGTGCCAGTGAGGAGCAGGTCACAGGGGCAGGGCTGTCGCCTTCACTGCGGCAGGCAGCAGGGACATGGATGATGTCCGAGAGCACAATTTTCTGAAGC